TTGCATTGCAGGCAATAAATACACCATCCATAGCAAAGGGAATAAAACAGTGCCCTCCGGTGGCCATTCAGGGTATTTTTGCATTGCAGGCAATAAAAAGACCATCCATAGGAAAATAAAAATGAAAACAGTGCCCTCCGGTGGCCATTAAGGGTATTTTTGCATTGCAGGCAATAAAAAGACCATCCATAGGAAAAAGAATAAAAACAGTGCCCTCCGGTGGCCATTCAGGGTATTTTTGCATTGCAGGCAATAAAAAGAGCATCTATAGCCACAGGACCTTAGAGGTCTTATAGTCCAACCCTCCTCAAGCCAGAGACCTTAAGTACTAGAAAGTAAAAAGTAGAAGCTTAAAGAAGTACTATCTTAATCTTCGAGTGTGTGGGGAGAAATACAAATAATGTATTAATATGGCAATATTAGGAAATAATTACACAACACTGGAGACCCTTATTGCGAAAACCTCTTTTAGTAATATAACTGGGATTTCCCCCTCTGTCGTCATCAACCTGCGCCATTCGACCGCGAGAGGGAAGCGGGGACAATAGAGGAGAGGAACCTTTCCTTTTTTCCCGCGTTTCCGGGAGGGATTCTTAAGACAGCCGGACCGAAGCGCCTGACCGGAAGTGCGCGTGCATTGCAGGCAATAGAAAGACCATCTGTAGCAAAGGGAATAAAAACAGTGCCCTCCGGTGGCCATTCAGGGTATTTTTGCATTGCAGGCAATAAATACACCATCCATAGCAAAGGGAATAAAAACAGTGCCCTCCGGTGGCCATTCAGGGTAATTTTGCATTGCAGGCAATAAATACACCATCCATAGCAAAGGGAATAAAAACAGTGCCCTCCGGTGGCCATTCAGGGTATTTTTGCATTGCAGGCAATAAATATACCATCCATAGGAAAAAGAATAAAAACAGTGCCCTCCGGTGGCCATTCAGGGATTTCCCCCTCTGTCGTCATCAACCTGCGCCATTCGACCGCGAGAGGGAAGCGGAGACAATAGAGGAGAGGAACCTTTCCTTTTAAGCCCGCGTTTCCGGGAGGGATTCTTAAGACAGCCGGACCGAAGCGCCTGACCGGAAGTGTGCGTTGTAACGTTTTCCCGGCTTCAAGCTGAAGGTAAAACTCCTCGGTTGTGTGTGTGTATGTGTGCGTATTTACATCATTGTGTGAATGTGTGTGTGTGTAAGAGCGCGCGCGCGGTGCTTCCTGCCTCTTTCAAAACGAGGCCCGGCCCTTCCGAAGCCCTTTTTCCTTTGGGCCTCGAATAGGGGGGCCCTTTACTCGAGGGGCCTGTCCGGTTTTGGGCCTCCTCGCTTATCTGACGACCCTGCATCCTTTCTCCTTTTCACTAGCCGGCCTCGACATGCTGGTGTCTCGGCTGACGGCTTCCCTCGTGAGGACATCGCGCTGTGCAGGTAAAGGGCGGCCTTTGCTAGGGGTGGAGGGTGGGTGATGGCCAGGCGTTTGGGGCTAAAAAAAAAAAAAGGAGAGAGAGAGAGAGAGCCTTTCCCATTGTAGAAAATTAGCACCCACCCCTCTCCTAGAAGAATGAAATATTTTAGGAAATATTAAAAAGGCAGAATACTTCCCCCAAAAGAGAAATAGAAATCTTAAGGGACATAGAAACAGCCCCGGCAGATATTTTGGTGCCAGCTTATCTACAAGACAAAAGACGTTCAGCTCCAGGGTGATAGGATTAGCCCTCCTCACTCAAAACCCAATCTCACAAGGCAGAGTGGGGTGGCGATGTAGAGGTGGAACTCTTGCCTTACAATCAGAGGCAGATATTTTTCTGGGCACACTGAGAATATATCTGCTGAACCAAACTCCGCATTGGTGACAGGAAGGGCATCCAGCCATTCAACGCTTTGCTATCTCCATTCAGTTGCCCAGACTCCACCCCGCAAGGGATTATGGGGTCATTAAATGATGATGATGATGAATGTTTTAATGCAAGCCAGCCAGCCCATGAGCAGCCAAGAAATAAACAGGAGTTTATTCTCACATTCTCACAAATACCTGTTTACAAATTTCTTTCCCACTTTGTCCATAGGGTGCTTTCTTTTGAGGCCATCTGTTGTCCTCCCACCTCCTAGAGCAACCGTTGTGGCAAGTTACAGCACACATCCGTCAAGCAAAAATGGAACCCGGCCTCACCAGTGGCTTACATTTGACCCTGAACTGGAAGAAATGTTGGTGCCTCGTAAGATGTCCATCTCACCTCTGGAAAGCTGGCTGACAGTTCAATATTTCCTCCCTAAAAATGGAGGCATCATAAACGTTCATGAGAGGAATGCTCCCCGACCGTTCCAACAGTACGATCTCCCTGCTCCTTCCAGGGGCACTGAGGCAGAGGAAGAAGAGGAGGCAGAGCAAAAAGGGGAGATGAACCTGCCCAGAATGGAATGCAGAAACATTTTGAAGATCCGGAGGAGGAAGATGAATAGGCACAAGTACAAGAAGCTGATGAAACGTACAAAATTTTCACGGAGAAAAGTCTTGGAAAGACGGATGTGGCAGAAACAGGTGAGTTGGGCAGGTAATGCCCCTCGACCTCTAGGGGAAGAGTGTGAGAAGCAGACTCGCCAGTCACAAATTTGACAAGAGTCATAAAGTGAAGCAGCAAGCAGTTTATTGCATGTAAAATATGTTCTTGCAAGAGCAGGTGGCTAACAGGTAGGCACACCAAGGAATCAAATAGTCCTTGACTTACAATGATCTGTTTACTGACCAAAAGTTACAGTGACACGACCATTTTTCACGTTAGAGCAACCCTGATCATATGAATTAGTTGTTCTATCCAAGCGATACAAAATTGTAACCTAAGCTCAGACTATGTGCCGTGAATTCTGTAGTTTAGAGGGAATTCTGTAATTCCCAAGTTGGACTTTCATTTTCTGTTTTTCCTTTCTTTATAGAAAAAATTTGAATATGAACTGAAAAGGATGTGGAAAAAAGCCGGCTTAAAAAAACCCCCAGAGGGGTGGGTAACCCCGAAGATTTATCTCAGAAATGTGAAATCTTGATAACTGCTTTGAGTAGAAATGTCTTTAATTAAAAACATTATTTAAAAGGCAAAGGTAATTGTAAAAATTCTGCCATGATTTTTTAAAAAGTACAGAGGAAATACAGGAATGGCTTGCCTTGTGCGTGCCAGTTCTTAATTCTTTATGCCGTCAGGAAATACCAAGTATCAAATTATTTTTCCTCAAACACTTTGGGAATGAGAGAAAATAACTGGGTCTCTCCCAGACAATAACCTGTAGTGACACCATAATAATGCAAGAAAAAGAGTGTTTCAGTGCTTCTTAAAACTGATTTTTCTGCTTCCAGCTGGTCTCTTTCTTGAATTAAAATCTAAAGATGTTGACAATTGGGCATCGCCAACCTCTGTCTCCAGTTTGTGC